GGGGAGAGGGGATCCTGCCTGCCAGCCCCCAGGATGTCTGGGAATGCATAAAGCCGGTGGCCGGCGGGCCCAGGACCAAGTGGGACCAAAACGTGAAGGACTTCGAGGTCGTCGAAGCCGTCAGCGATGTAAGTTCCCTAAAAACCGTTCTGGTGTGATTAATGCGACGTTGTGTTCAGAAGCATTGGCCTCTGCGCAGACCTTCCAGTTGTAGTCCCTCGTGAGACAGCCGACGTTGCGTGCAGGGAGGTGAGAAGGTCTCAAGAAGTTGTACAGCCTCTCCGTCTGGATCACTCTGACAGTACTGGGATTAGGATTTTTTATTTCCTTTTTCGTAAGTTGCATATATCGTCTTAGCAATCTTATCTTTCTGAAAGGAACTACTAATATATTCTTGGCTAAATACTGCATACTTGAAATATGTTAATGTATAATATTAAAGATTTCTGCACTACATTGTTGTTAATGGTGCAAGTCAATCTAGGCATGATTATTTTTAACCAGCTGTTTGCGAGGGAAGAGGAGGTTTAGAGAATACATAGACTTAGCTAAGCAGTGAAACATTCATGTCATCAGCCATTAATTCGGGCCCCGTCTTTTACCATGGCAGCACACAATGCTCTGAGCTGCGCACGTCGCGCTCTACATTTAACTGACTGACTGACCTTGGGACCTAGCGCTTTCCTTCAGTGTTTCTATCATTAAAATACAGATGCTGCTCTTGGAGCATTACAGATGGAAAGGGCTGTGTATGAGCAGTAGTTTCTGCTGCTGCGGTTATACAGTCTAATTTCCAATTTTTTTTTAAGTGTGTCAGAACCTTAAAAGGGCATCGGATTTAGATCGCTAAATCTGAAGTGGATGTAGGTGCTTGGAGGCAGCCAGCGTGCAAACACCACCAGTCCCAGGGATGTTCATGGGAGTCCTGGGAAGATTATTTTTCTTGGGGGAACCTTACAGGCGTTTGTTACACGTGTCAACTTTAGGAATGCTGCAACCTGCCTCTTGAATTTCATAGACTTTATCAGACTTGCCAGCACTTACCAGTATGGTGGAAACCTCTGTTTTGGGCAACCTCTCTCCACAGAGCCTCCACAGAAGGGGATGGTAGTGTTAACGTTTCTGCAGTGCAACAAATATGATTATCAAGTTGCATCCCATGTGATATGACACAAAGAAGTTATCTTTGTTAGCTTCCTGGAAAGGAGAGGCATTTTAACTGTCCTATGAGCATAGGTGTGCCAGATTTGCTTTTCAGCATTCCTTGTGGTATCTGTCCTTAAACAACTTGGGAGCAACGTGTTATCACTCTGTTTTTCTCCATTAAACTGTCCTTTGTCAACACACCGTAGTGCCTTTCGACTGTCTGATTTGCATTTTGTTCAACAAAGGGTGTAATAGAACTCCTTGATACAGTTTAGAAAAGGTAACTGAAAGAATACAGGGATTTTTCTACTGTACTTCTGAAAGCATCATCTGACATAACTTGGTTTTCTGATTTCCAGACTATCTCTGTGTGCAGAACCATAACCCCTTCAGCTTTCATGAGGATTATTTCACCAAGAGAATTTGTAGATGTGGTGCTAATGAGGCAATATGAAGATGGGACGATGCTGTCTGCTGGTAAGATGCTTGTGTTCTCAACATGTTCATGTTATGTTAGGAGATAACCAGCAGCTACCAGAAATAAATATAAAATAAAAAATAAGTAACACGCTGTTCAGTAGTTGTTGATCTGATCTTAATTGGAAGATAAAGTATTGGTGGTCTCTCTACATTGTTGTTCTCAGAGTACATAAGTCATCTTAACATTCAACTAATGATACTGTTGGCCTGTGGTTTCTTCCCTTGCTGTGCTTTTGAGGTTGAGTAAGAGTTTAATTTACTGTTAAGTTCTGGTGTATTTTGTGTGTGTGTTTTTGTTGGGTTTTTTTAAGAATTTACAGAACTTTCTAAAAGGAGTCCCATTTAGGCTAAAGCCTGTTCTAACATTTTCTCCACTGCCTCTGGATTTTGGTGTAGCCGTTGAATAAATGCACCACTCCTGTATGTGGAAATAATTTTCTTATGAAACCAAATAGTGCTGATTTTTAAGGGGCTGCCGCTGTGTGGAAGGATGTTTCTTTGTTTTTTCACTTTCATCCTGTTTAACTGTTACAAATCAGTGCTTTTATTGCCCCCCTGTTCAGCTGTCCCATTTTCCCATCCTGCTCTGGAATACCTTGCCAGGAATTTATGTATTTGCTAGAGTGCAGTCAAGTGGCATGGATTTGTTGGAAGTAACTTGAATGACCTCTGAAGAAAAGCAATGCCTTCACACAATATGGGTTCAGTGAAACTCCTTCAAAGTGTCATGCCTGAAGTAACAATTACTTCTAAATTCAACACTTCTTCGATTTCCCCATTCCATGACCAGGGTGGTTCCTTCTAATGGTCTTTTCCGACCGCTTGCATGGCACAGCCCCACATGGAAAAGGTTATACTGACATTCTTCTTAAATATATTCTCATATAGTGCGTTTACTTCTCAGCTGGTGCTTTGAAGTACCAAGGACTCTTTCCCATCTTCTGTGAAAATGACACTTCTATTGAATGTTTTTTCTTATAGCCACCAATGTGGAACACCCGCTGTGTCCTCCTCAACCAAATTTCGTGAGAGGTTTTAATTATCCCTGTGGCTGTTTCTGTATACCTCTGCCAGGGTAAGAAGCAATCTGTTTGAACGTTATGTGTTCTAAAGCCCTTCTTATCCATTCTGTGGTGTGTTTATGTGTATGTGGCCACACGGGATCTGTAGCCTCTTGGCAATGGCATGTTTCTGTCTTCCTTTGGCTGGTAATTGTTATGGCTGCGTGCCCTTTTTCTCTTTTTTTGTGCAATGAATTAGTCTGTCTTCACTTCCTAGAGGGAAGTCTTTAATGTTACAGGAACCATCATCATGGTAGGATTCTCGCTGACCTCTTATTTTAGCAGAACATACAAGTATGGTCTTAAGATTTGGTAAAAGAGTATCTGGTTGTTTATGAATTATGGCAATGTAATAAACAGGATCATGTACCTAATTAGGGCCTAGTTTAACTGTAATTTGACTTGTGGGGATAGCCACATTCATTGAAATTTGGAATTAATGTCTGTTGTTTGTTTGAGAGAAAAAAAAAAAACTCTAGAAATATCTATCATCAGACAATACATATAAGAGTCATTGTAAAGTTCTTAATGCTTAAACCGCTGGCTATAAAATCAGTTGCATTGTCTTTGCAGGGATCCAGACAGGACTCAGCTCCTCAGTTTCTTTCAGACTGACCTTGGTGGCTATCTTCCTCAGACGGTGGTGGATTCCTTCTTTCCAACTAGCATAGCTGGATTTTACAGTAACCTGACCAAAGCCGTTAAGGCATTAAAAGCATGACAAGACCAATTGCTGACATCACCAGTTGAGGGTAGGAAAAAACCTGGCAGCTTGAGGGTAGAAATAGGATGTTGGCCTACAGGACTTTTCTACCAGCATAGATACTTAGAAAAGAGGAACAATGAATTGAGTAAAGTAAATTTTTAAACCAGCATTTTCTACCTGTCTGTATGCAAAGCAATGCATTCTTTTCTAATATGATTACCTTCATTTTCATAATTAGAAAAATATCACACCGGAGGCTGGAAGAACCCTGGAGGCAGCACTGGTGGCTGTCTGCGGGGAGATGATGTGCATACTGGATCTGTTCTTGGCCACACTTTGGCAGTGTCTGTGAGGAGGAGTGTTGCTAAAATCCACTTAGCGCTACGGCGTTAGCCAGGTGCAGGTCAGCCATGTTTTGTCTCTGAAGCTCCCCGTAGACTCCTGTGGAACAATGTTCCTTCCCCAAAAGAAGAGGTAGCTCTTTTGCTGCCAGCACTCATAGAGCTGCTAAGATGCTTCAGTGGGTCCAAACCAGCAAAGGGTAAAAGGCAGAATAAATTGGATTGTGTGGAGGATCCCACTTATTTGTTCCAGCAGACTTCAGTATTGATGGTAAATATGCCTTAAGTGCTTTTTTAATAAATCTAGCAGTGCAAATCAATTTGTCCGTCTGTGGGTTGGCAAGTAGACACTCTTCCTTTCTCCCCTCTGTACCAAAACCAGTGATTTCCACAATGACATGAAACAAACTGCACTGTCACAGTGGCAATAAATAAAGAGGATTGAGCACTTTACTTGCCATTTTTTAAACCGCACTTGAAATGACCATTTTTACTGCACTTGAACATTTTTTGGTCTCTTGTGGTGAGAGGTTTTAATGGGTAAATAATCTTTTCTGTAGCTTTGTCTTGACTTGACAGGCCATAATGACACTACTTTTTTTCTAGGACTGGTTTGCCTCACAGCACTACCTTGGGAAATCAGCTCCTAATCTTGTGTGCAGTGACGTGTCCAGCTTTAGAAAATATTTATGGTACTGGTTACTAAAGGAACGTCAGCCGTTACTGTGGATAACATATAATTACAAAAGGAAAACTAATTCCTGAATTAGAAATTTAAATGCAGGTTGTGATTTTAATGCTGTAACTTGATTATTTAACAAGGTTAATATGCTCTGCTTTCTGTCTCTGTGTTTGTTTTACATACAGTATAGGGCACGGGCTTGCACACAAAGTTTCCCGCTGTAATTCTCACCCTACGGAATAGATTTTTCAAGGAAACAGTTTTTTATCTAGTCTCCTTTGCATACAAAGATGTAAAAATTTGTATGAGTATGATGAAATAAATATTTTTCTGCTACATCTTGCTGTTTTTCCTGGATCATCCTTTAAAATGGTTCCTTTTGCAGCTGCTTTGCCATCAAGGAAACATAAGAGCCACTTAGATCTCCAGTATCTCTCTGAATTCAAGGCAACAAGAGAGGGAAAAGCCTTCGCTCCCATTTACACTCCCCGCTAACTGGGAATAAAGGTGTTTTGGTGAGAACACTTACCCTCCCAGCTTCTTTGCTTTTGGTTGGTCTTTATTTCCAATTGCTGCTTTCTGTACTTACAAAGAGTAACAAATTCACTGAGGAGAGATTTGGATATTACAGAGGCTCATACATATTTATGTAAATGTACTAAAGTTGTTAGGCAAGAAGTGCAATATCTTGGCAAGTCTTTGCAGGATTATGATTAATTTAATTAGCTCAGTTCAGCACTTGTTGTTCTTGCAGGTAAACTTTTTGGAGACAATGGGGCTTTTTATTAGCTATTTATTATGTTTAATTTTTTTTTATTGCTCTGAGCAATAAAGGTGATAGGTGAGGCTTTTCCTTGGAATAACTTAAGGATCCCTTTTCTGAGTGCTCAACACATTCTATCCAGAAGGAATTAAGAGCCTTTAACATTCAGCCTTTTGCCCTGCCAAACTGGAGATGGAAATGCCTTGGCAAAGATAATCTTGGAGGACTCCCCAGGGAGACACGCTGCCTGTCACACAACAACATGTTTTGACTTCTTTTGATCATGGCAGATGCCAGGAAACGCAGAGGCATGCAAAAACTGAAAAACTTTGGAAGTGAAGTGAAAAAAGATCAAACCTGTCTTGGTGGTTCTATGTCAGTTCTTAAGTTGATGAAATTAAATAGCTGTTGCAGGTGAAGACACTGTCAGCAGATGGCACTGAAGTAATTAAGGCATTCTATGCCATGGCTGTAGCTAGTCCAGTCTCTGTTGTTAAAGTTATGCAGCTGACCAAAAAGTGTGATCTGTCTTTTACAGGACATAGCTTTAACAGTGCTAAAGAGTTCAGGCCTGCTTTTCTGTACAGAAATCATTAATGTTTTACCTACATTGTTATGGGCAAGTGGTTGAAAAATCTTAGAATCTTTTATATGTACCAAGCCTTTACTGAGACTTTGTTAAGCCTAAACCAATAATGCAGATTAAGTTAAATACAAGAAATTCTACCATTAAAAATAAAAGTAATATTCAGAGAGTTTCATGTAGGAACCAGTTTAAAAATCTACAAAAAGAGATTCCCTTTCACATTTTTCTCCTATTTTGGTTGCCACCCATTTCATAGAAGTTTTCTTTTGAGGATTGGTTGGTTGGTTTTTTGAAAAGACAACTGAATTGGGAAGAGGTTTGGAAGTGTGAGGGCAGATGGCTTGTCAAGAATGTTCTTTTAAGGATTAACATAGAGTTGACTTGTGAGGAGAGACCAAAGCAAGTTATATGCCTGGATTCAATTAATACCTTCTGCTGTCTATCCTACTTCCCATTCTCTCGACTGCTGTTTCTGTGACATTGTGTTAAGTGCATGGAAAATAGCTTCTGAACTCCTGCAGTTTATGGTTTGGTGAAATTAAGTAACTGAAAAAGGGTGCAGCAAATTCCCGAATATGGGAAGGTGAACAGCCAAGGACAACAACCAGTGCAGCCATCTGGCTTTCAACTGGCAAGTTGCTACTTCCATCCTGATGCTGCATCTCTCCCTTTAGTGAAGTAGATCAGAGAAGACCAAATGGGTGCACAAGGCCATCTTGCCATAGATACACATGCTGCTGCTGGTAGCACTACCAAAATGCTGATAGCAGCGTTTGAAGCATAGATTTATCTCCAAGTTATTTAGTGTTTCCAGAATAAACATTTGGATTCAGAACTTCTACTTCCCAAATACTTTCACTGGTACTTTCCTTGCAAAATTAACACGAAGACATTTCAAAAAAACGTGTGATTAGAAAGTAATGCTTGGACCGCCTGCTGGAGTCCTCTGAGACCTCTGGCCAGAAGAAGGTTAGGAAAACCTCTGCTATACTACCCTCAGCTTCCTGCCTCACCCTTGCAATACTGCAAGACACTCCTTCCCCCGCCCCCCCGCGTTTGCCTGCTGGAGTTGAGATGTCTGTCAACTGCTAGTAGAAAGTTACCTTGACAGGCTTTGGCTGTCCTGGATGTTCAGTGGTTTGAATGGAAAAGCTGGAGTTTTCCAGGGCATATTGTCATTTTGACACACAAAGTTCCATCCCCTTTTCTCTGGCCCTTACACATTCTCTAAGGCTTTACACATTCTGTAAGGCAGTGTTTGGTTGTAGGCTCGTAGACACATTTCTTCCTCTTAGGAAGATAAGGCAGGGAGCAAGACTTGTAGAGTAGGACTGAAAATTTAGCACAGAATGTGCTTTTGATATTTAAGTTAATGGCTTAAAATAGGAAAGTATTACAGCTGTCACATATTTTATTACAACCAGTATATTATTAATAAAGTCATTATTTTATAATTCTACACTTCGTAACATCTGTTTCTGAATGTTGAAATAAGATTCATGCACATTTTTTGCACATCTTACTTTATCCCAGACAGCTTGCTCTGTAACTGGCAGTAAGATCATGTGTACTTTTCATATGCACTTTCTGAGTATCTTGCTGTGCTAGCCAAATGGCTGCAAGTAATAAAATCCTTTTTTGTTTGTAATATTGGCAGTAGTCTAATTCCTCCTCTTACAAAGTTTCAGATGACTTGGTGGTAACAGAGCTCAGATTCTTCCTCTTGATGATAGCTGTGATGGGCCCATCAGGTAATGTCTTGATTATATTCCATGCTTCAAAACGAGTGAGTCCTTGCATGGCAGTTGTGTGCACTTGTAACAGCTCATCACCAGGTTGAACAGGGCTGCTTTGTTCTAATGCAGTCCCTGGAGAAACAAAATTTATTTCCTTTAATTCTTTGTGTGGAGGAGACATTAACATATCTTTCGCTTATTAAGGATCACTAGCATGTTTGGTACAAACCACCTGGTCTCAGCAGGCAACAAATTACTGGCACTGCACAGGATAATGCTGCATTTACAAAAAATACCATTTTCATGGGTATAAATCAGCAGTCAGTTATGAACTGCACAAGTTTGCATGATCTAAGAACCTGCTGTGTATGCATTTAAGTGTGTTTACCTTTAAATATCCTGTTGATGATGATGGGTTTATCTCCATGAATAGAGCCCTTCCCTCCTTCCAAACTGAATCCTAAACCGGCAGGTGTTTTTTCTAGAGTTACAGTGCAGATTGTGTCTTCGGTTGCTGGAAACAAATGAAAAGTTAGCAGATGGGCACCACATAGTCTGAAAAGCTAAAACATCTGTTACAGAAAATGAACTTCTGTTTTGTTTGCAAAGGCACCATAAACTGCCAAATTAAAGAGAAAACTATAACTTTTATTTCCTCTTTTTGTCATTGTAAGGCCATCTGGGAAGCTGGGGGAGAAAGTTGTGTTTGAATTCATGGCAGAATGAAAATATAAAGATGAAAGCTGTTAACATTTACTAGAATTAGAATAATCTGTTCAATGAACAAAATTTAAGGTAAACGTATTTGACTTGATGTTAGTTATGAAATTGTTATCAACTACAAAGCTGCTAATGTTTATCTGCAGTATGTAAATAAAGCTACAGATTTCCAGATCGTGCTTAAGGA